GGCAGATGAGAGTCAAGGGAATTTCCCCAAGGGGCCTGGCAGGCCGAGCGGCGTTAGCAGGGGATCAGGCACGGGTGAAATTGTTTTTTGCAAAGGGATAAGTCTCTTTGTGGCGTATCCCGCAACATCCTCTCAAGTAGGATGGAGGTTTAAATCTGACAGCAAGAGCTAGACTTGGCCGGAGCTGCTGCAAAATCTGCCCGAAGGGCCCTTAACTGCCCCGGGTGGGGAAGAGTGGTGCAGTTTGTTATTTATTTATTTTTATTTTTTAGCATTTAAAAATGCAAAGGCTTTGCTGCTGTCAGGCTTCCTGGTGGCAAGCACAAGCCTTCTGCTGCATAGTTTTTAATTCTCTTAAAGTTTCCCACTGGCGAGATCTGCCACAGGCCAGTGCTACGCTCCCTTGCGCAGGCCCCTCTCCGGCCATTAGCGCAGGCAGATGGTGCGTGGGTCACCCCGCTCTGCCGGCTGCACCAGGCCCAGGCCCAGCGGCTACACGAGTAACTCGGGAGGAGCAGGTAGCCCTGAAATCTCCTCCTCGTGTCGGGGTGGGAGACGCTGCCTGCTCAGCCCCGGTGCGCAGAGGCTGCCGGCCGCAGCAGGACCCAGCAATGGGAGCATGGAGGTGGCAGAACGGCTCCCAGCATCTTCTCCAGGGATTTTCTGCTTTTTCAGATGCTCTGTTTCTCCTGGGGGTTTTGGCCCTCGGTGTCAGGCTAGCGAAGCACCGCCGTAGCCCTCGCCGTGCCTGCGCTGCGCTCCTGGAAGACCTCAGTAGACGGCTTTGGTGGACCTCTGTGGTCCGTGGTTCAGATGGGACAAGATTAGTTGATGCCAGATTTATCCCTTCTCCAGGCTAACGGATGTTTCAGTGCTCCCCGTCCCCCACGGGGATCTCCAGCAGCTGCCTCTGAGCTTTCACCTTCCTCAAGGCTTGACCTTTTTAATATTGCAGCAAAAAAAGCAGCCCCAGCAGGGTGCAGCTCTTTGGAGCTCGTTTGGGCTGCGAGGATGAGTCACATTCGCTGCTTAAATTACGGCAGCGGCCACGGGGTGGCTGCCCCCTGCTCCAGACAGGCTCGCGTGCTGCAGGCATGGGGAAACCTTGCGGTTGCCCCTTGCTGAGCTGTGCTGGGAGGCACCAGTGCTGTCACTCAGCTCCTTTGCCACAGGCACCCCATTACTGTTTTAAAGGGTTGACAGGTTTGCAGAGGCCTGTCCCCAGCTGGGGACACACTGGCACCCTTACCAGTGCCACTGTTCATACCCCAGAGCCATGGCTAGCTCCTCAGAGCACCACATCCCCCTTGGCCCGTGTGTGCTAACGTGAGATGAGACCTAGCTGCCTCTTGCCAGGGTCTGACCGTTCCTCCCACACTTCTGACTCATTAAGCTAATGCCTCTTTAAGTTTTGCACAACCGCTAGCACTGCTTCATCTTTCCAGGGCCAGCAGGCAGGACCTGGGTCCTCTCTCTGGATGCTGAGCAGGGAATGGATTTAAAGTTGTGGAGCAAAGCAGGAGAGACAGCTAACGGCAAGGGTGTGGATCTGGGTGAGTGCTGTAGGGATGCTCTGGGTGGTGGCAGGAAAGCCCTGAGCACAGCTGTGCTGGGGCTGCCCGTCAGTGTGGTGGCAGGGCCTGTGGCTTCTGCCCTTCTGCTGGGCAGAAGGATTTCGGGGTTTGCCCAGGCCAGCTCTTGCTGAAGGTGCAGAGACAGTGCAACTGTTTTTGGAGGGCCCTGAAGATCTTGGTGGTAGAAGAAGTCATGCGGCTGCTTATGGAAAAGGACTGGCCACCTGTGCAGGACCTACCCTCAGCTGCAATCTCCTTCTTCTGCAAACTTCATCCTTTCCCCATCCTCCTTGGCCTGGCTTTCCCCTGCTTAATCTCTCTTTACTCTGCTTCCTAGACCTTTGCTCCCTCTTTCCCCTCGCCCACTGCTGCCCTGAGAATCTCCAGCTGGCTTTGGGCTTGGCCTCAAATGTCCTCCTGCAATCCCTCACCCTGGGTTGGTGCCTGCTCTGCTCTCTTTCCTTCCCTTGTCCCTGTTTGTATTAGCTTTTCCAATTCTGTAATCGTCTAATATCTCAGCTCTCTCATTCATCTCAAGCCTCCTGCAGCCCAGATTCTCTTTCTGTCTTCAGATCTCGCTGCAAAACACCTTTTCCCTCTCCTGGGTGGTTGCCCCAGGAGCATGCTCACCTTTCGCGCTTGTTTTGTAATGCTGTCCAGGCAAGGTACTCTGCTAACAGAGCTGTTGTGGCTGCAGACCGCCCTTGCCTTGAAACAGGGTGCTGTGCCCTGCCTGGTGGTGTGATCCCTTCCCTAAAGGGCTGAGTTTTAGGGGAGGAGTGTGCATGTATTTTGGTTCCCTAGGAAAAAAGGTCTTCAGAAATGGGAAGCTTTACTAACAGGCATTTCACCCCACGACAGGCAGAGTCGGCAAGGCTGCCCGATCGGTGGTGCTTCCAGCCTCTTATCCTCTCCCTAGCAGGAACTAGCAGCAGATGCTCAGGGAAATAGTGCCTATGTGCATTAACAAGGGCAAGCCCAGAGCCTGAATGTAACACGGAGCCATATTTCTCCCTCACCCCAGTATCTTCTGTTACTAAGCCGGCGGCAGAAGGACTTCCTGAGCCAGAGATAGACTTTCTGTGGTTAATGGCCTCTTGGATTTTCCGTCCGTTATTTTGCCTGAAAGCTTTTAAGCGCAGAGATACTGCTGCACCTCTGGCCCCACTGTGCTGTCTGGTGCCAATGAGTTTGGTGGACTGCTGATACAGTGAATTCTGCTCTATTTAGTTCAGCTTCTTTCCTCCTTTCCCTCTCTCAGGTTATACGCTCCTGCACAGCGCTGCAGCTTGGCAAGTCGGAGATGTTGAAACTTTGGTAGACCTGGAAGCTGATCTCCTTTCTGCAAACCTCCCAGGTGAAAAGGCCAGGGACATTGCCAGCTGCTGTGGACAGATGGACTGTGAAGTACTCCTGAGCTGGGCAGGTGAGCCCTGAGCTTGAAGACATGGGAGGTCTCAGGGAAGAAGGGAAGACCAACATTGGAGGCTACCTATGTTTCAAAAGTTATTTGGAGCTGATCATCGAATCAGTTGCTGAGATCAGGGTCACCTGTGGCCATAGACAGGCCCTTTGCCACCCGGACGGGAAGGCACAGACCCAGGGGTCCTTCTGCTGAGCCATGTGCAGGGTGGAGGGGACCACGCTCGCTGGCAGAGTCTGGGGAGCAGCTCGACACCCTCCAACCCACAGCTCTCCCCGGCTGGCTCAACTTTGCCGTGCTCCTGCTGCCTGGTGTCGCGTGGCCGGGCAGTGCCCGTGCAAAGGGGTGGCCAGCTTGCAGGCCGGCCGTGCTGCCAGAGCGGCTCTGAGCGCCAGCGTCCCCATGCAGTCCTGGGGCATCGGCCTTTTCTGCAAAGCTGTTTCCTCACCCGCCAAGCTCCGACCAGCACCCCCAGGGTTCTCCAGGCCAGCTGTCTCCTGGCTTCCCCCAGCCAGGATGGCCATCTGCTCGAGGAGTCACATACTTCTACAGCTCCCAGTGCCCGTTCTCTCTCCCGTCAGCTCCCCCCGTCCCCCCAGCAGCACCCTCCCAAAAGCACACGGACAGCAGCTCACTAGCAGCATTGCCTTTAATCGCCCCGCACCTCCAGCTCCGCGCTGGAGCTGGGCTTGTGGAGGCTGGCAGAAAGGACCTTCTCTTTGTCACCCCCATCTTCTGTCTTTTTTTTCTACTCCTGGCGCTTGGCCTCCTCCAGGTGGAGGTGGCGCAGGCGCCGCAGGTATTTGCTCACGAGGATGGCGTTTCTTTCCACGCGAAAGAGCACCTCGTAGCTATTGCAGTTGCACTTGTCCAGGCAGTCTGTCTCCAGAGGCACTGGAGCCGCTCGGCCCGTCCCCTGGAAGAGAGAGGGTGAGGAGATGGGCTGGGGGGCTTCTGGCGAAACGCCGGCCCTGCTGGACGGCTCCAGGAGGTGAGCTGGGATGAGGAAACGTCAGGCTAAGAAAGCCTACGGCGTGCTCCGCTGAGGCTCTCTTGCCTGCGTTGGCTTTTGTTTCTCCATCGAAGGGCTCTTGGCCCTGGCTCCTCTCGGCCCAACCGACTCCCGTGGCTCACCTTTCTCCAGGGCCGTTGCGCTAAGTTGCCGAGATAACGCACGAGCACAGCCACGCTGAGCAGGCACGTGGCTCGCCAACCCACAGAAAACACCCACACCGTGTCCAGCCAGGCCAAGCCGTCCCAGAGCTGCTGCCACAGGAAGGGCAGGAGCCAGACGAGCAGCTCGGCGTTGGCGTCCAGGCCATGCAGCTCCAGGGCTGGAATCAGAGCGTTGCTCCTCAATGTGACCCAGCTGCAGCAGGGGCTGAGGCCCAGCCTGGCGGGGAGCAGCACCAGCGCGCACAGAACCACAGCCAGGGAGCCCAGGCTGAGCATCGCCCTCTTCTCTGGAGCTCGAATCCAAAGGGATGAGCAGAGAAGAGTCAACCCATGACCACGGCCACGCAGCGCAGGTCTCGGGTGTTGGCGCTGGGGCAGCTCTCTGATGTCATGAGCCTAAAGCAGATGACAGGAATGTCCCTGTGATGTCAGAGGGGCACCAGGGGCAACAAAGGCTGGGCCATGCTAGGCAGAGCCGGCAAGGAACCGAGCCCGGAGACTGGTCTGGCCTGCGCTCGGTGCCGTGCCCCCGGCAACTGGCCAGCCTTGAGGTCGTCCCGCTCAAATCTCATTACGGGCAAAAAGGCCAAACCCATGTTAGTAGGAGAGCTGAGGATTTATTGTTAGTTTGAATGAAATCTTCGCAGTCCAGAATTCTTAGTCCAGGTGTAATTATTACAGCAGAAGAGAGCAAAGAGTAAAATGGTTGAATACAACTCAACACAAAAAGTCTCAAGAGCAATAATACACTTGAAATTGTTGCATGTTGTGCGCACGTTTCGTAGCATCTGTCCCTTTCCCTGGTGTGCTGCTTAGCCTTGTGCTGCCCTGGGGGTCCTACGGCCAAAGGCTCCGGCCTGCTGGGGGGTTAAGGGCAAGTGCTCAGCATCCCCGCCTCTTCTCTGGGGGTAACCTGATGGCGATGGTTTCTCCTTTCTTCTAGAATCTGCTTGGGGTCACTTTTATTTATTTACTGATCTGCTTTTACACCTTGCTTTTTCTGTATTGGTCTGCAAGTTCAGGTTGCATCTGATTTTACTGTAGATGGTGCAATTTATGTTGGCGAGATGCTATTTCTTTGGTCTCTTTGTTAACCCTAAACCCGATGTTGTCGGCTCCAGCTCTGCATATCTCTAATTGCCTCGGGCGAGTGGTTTACGGCTGTGGGGTCTTCAGTGCCAGGCACCTGCTGCCACGCCAGGCGCTACATCGCTGTGGTGGAGTCCTAAATATCTCGTTCTACCCAGAATAACTAACTACTTGCTATGACTGTGCATATCTAAATTACAGTTGTACCTTACAAGGATAAGCAAAGGTACGAGAAGATGAAA